CTCCAATGGCAGTTTGATTTTCAGAAGCTTTTGGTATTATTTTGATCTTCTTTGTTAATCTGGTGCCATCCTGGCTTGCTCCTACTGGTCCCTGCTGCTGCTGCCTGAAGAGACAGGAGGGGTTTCCCTCTGTCAGGCTTCCAGGTGTCTCTTGGCGCCTCCCCTGCTGTCCTCTAGGTGTTCCTGTGTCTCTGGGTGGGGTAGGAGAGCCCTTGGCCCACAGGGACAGTTTTCTGGAATGGGCCACTGGTTCTAGCTGGGCCTCTCCTGCCTGTTCTTCCCACACACTTTGATGTGTCTCTGCAGGAGGGGAGTCTCAGGCCTGCAGAAACAATGAGGCTTCCCAGATGGACCACTGGTAGCTGTATCCCTTTAGCAAGTTCTGCCCACCTATCCAAGTACACATCCTCCTCTGGTGTACTTCTTATATGTATGGGGACTGTTACAGATAAACTTCACTTTCATTTGGGTACAACCATGTATCTGGTGGGTTTTCCCAGCTATTTTTGTCAAGGTGAGCTGTCAGAGTGGCAGGATTAAGAGTTCAGGCTGGGCGCGGTGGCTCAAGCCTGTAATCCCAGCACTGTGGGAGGCCGAGGCGGGTGGATCACGAGGTCAAGAGATCGAGACCATCCTGGTCAACATGGTGAAACCCCGTCTCTACTAAAAATACAAAAAATTAGCTGGACATGGTGGCGCATGCCTGTAATCCCAGCGACTCAGGAGGCTGGGGCAGGAGAATTGCCTGAACCCAGGAGGCGGAGGTTGTGGTGAGCCGAGATCGCGCCATTGCACTCCAGCCTGGGGTAACAAGAGCGAAACTCCGTCTCAAAAAAAAAAAAATAAAGAGTTCAGCTGTCTTTTTGTGGGATAATTTTTTTCAATTTGTTCATAGACAGAGCTCTTAAGAGTAGGAGGTTGATAGGGTACTGAGTAGTCCACCTAGTGCTGCATCCTTCAGTCTCGTCAACGCTGAATGAAATGGAGCCTCAGTCCTCCACTGGGTCCTGCTGACATTATGGGGAGGACCACCGTAGGGGCTAGTCCTGTTTCACACTTTGTCCTTTGGTCTCATGCTGTAGTGTGAGTGTGAAAGTGAGGCTCCCCATCAAGCCTCACTAACACCAGGGATAGGGGGAAAGCGGAGTGTGGCCTTTCCCCACCTTGCTTCCTTTTTCATGTTCACTGATGCTGGCTGTTTGTAGAGGCCCAGTTCCATGCTGAGTCCTGCTGACACGAGGACTGTGGCAAAGCACAACAGTGACTAGGCTGGCTCACATTGCCTGGTTAGGTTGCGGTGCTGCCTGATAGGAGTGGAAGGTCGGCTTGACACTGGGTGCCATGGACACTACCCTGGTGGGGGACTCAGCACTGCTGCTCCTGTCCGCACAGGGATGAGAGATCAGCTTCCCTCTGATATTACCCTCTCAGAGAATGTAAGCAGCACCGCTTCCAGAAGGAGAATGAGCTTTCCACTAAGTCTCACTGACAGAGCCTCAGCAGGGAAATCAGAACATTGCTCTCTGCTTCCACCATGTAGGGATGGAAGCTCAGCTCCCTGGTCAGCTCTACTATTCCACAAGGCAGGGAGATCAGAGCACAGTCACTTGTTTCCATGAAGCAAGAGACTGGGTGAAAGATTAGCTCCCTGTTTGGCACCACTGAAATCCCAGGGGAGGGGATGCAGTTTGTTTCTATGGTATATGACTGGAGCAGAACAGGTATTACCAAAAAACGTTTTCTGTTGTTAAGCCGTGCTCTTTTCAGTCATTTGGCTGGGGCTTTCCTGGAGCATTTTTTTTATCAGTGCTTGTTGGACATCCCAGGTTGAAGAAGCTTCTGCAGTGCCCTTCTGGGATATGTGAATAGAAATAAAGTCCCAAGGACTCATTGTCAAGGGACCTTAGAACTTGAAGAATGACATGACAATGAAGTTTTTGGGTTTTTTTTCCACTTTAAGTTCCAGGATACATGTGCAGAACATGCAGGTTTGTTACATAGGTAAATGTGTGCCACGGTGGTTTGCTGTACCTATCAACCTCTCACCTAAGTATTAAACCCCACATGCATTAGCTATTTGTTTTGATGCCCTCCCTCCCTTTGCCCCCTTCCCCCAACAGGCCCCAGTGTGTGTTGCTCTCCTCCCTGTGTTTATGTGTTCTCATTGTTCAGCTCCCATTTATAAGTGAGAACATGCGGTGTTTGGTTTTCTGTTCCTGTGTTAGTTTGCTGAGGATAATGGCTTCCAGCTTCATCCATGTCCCTGAAAAGGACATGATCTCATTCCTTTTTATGGCTGCATAGTATTCCATGGTGTATATGTCTCACATTTTCTTTATCCAGTCTATCACTGATGGGCATTTGGGTTGGTTCCATGTCTTTGCTATTGTGAATAGTGCTGCATTGAACATATGTGTGCCTGTGTCTTTATATTAGAATGATTTCTATTCCTTTGGGTATATACCCAGTAATGGGATTTGGATTTCTGGGTCAAATGATATTTCTGGTTTTAGATTCTTGAGGAATCGCCACACTGACTTCCACAATGGTTGAAGAATGGCAGGACAATGAATCCTTTTTCCTCTTTTGGAGTTATTACCAGGGCTTTCTGGTTTTGAGATGGAGGACTTACAAGGGATGGCAGTACTCTATCTTTCCTGGAACTGGAAGTCTCTCTTATAATTTTTCTTATAATTATTCAATAAGAAATTTTTTTTACATATTAACCTATGCAGTTAGCATCATCTTTACCTATGCTTTTTATTCCTTAGCATAGATTCGTATTTCCATCTGGTAAGATCTTCCTTCTGTCTAAAGTACTCCCTTCAATATTTCTGTTACTGCAGGTTAGTTGGTGACTAATTCTTTTAGTTTTTGCCTATTTTTTTTTTTTTATGAGACTGGGTCTCACTCTGTCAACCAGGCTGCAGTGCAGTGGTAGGATCTCGGCTCACTGTAGCCTCGGCCTCCTGGGCTCAAGTGATCCTCCTGCTTCAGCCCCACAAAGCAGCTGGAACTACAGGTGCAAACCACTATGCCCAGCTAATTTATATATACATTTTTGTAGGGATGAGGTCTTGCCATGTTGCCCAGGCTGGTCTTGTATTCTTGAGCTCAAGCAATCTGCCTACCTCAACCTCCCAAAGTGCTGGAATTACAAGTGTGAGCCACTGCACCTGGCTGTTTTTGTGTATCTTAAAAAGTCTATTTTATCTTCCTCTTTGAGAGATATTTTCACTGTGCACAGACACTCTGTGGACAGTCCCTCAGTATTTTAAACATGTTTCTCCACTGTCTCCTCACTTGCATTATTTCTGATGAGACACCTGCTGTCATCTTTGTTATTGTTCCTCTGTGCACAATGTGTCTTCTTTCTGTTATTTTAAGATGTTCTCTTTGTCACTGCTTCTGGAAAGTTTGACTCTGCCTTTGTCTGGTTTTCTTCATGTTTCTTGTGCTTGGGATTCATTGCGGTTCTTTTGGATCTGTGGGTTTACAGTTGTAATCCAATTTGGAAAATTTTTGGCCACTGCTGCTTCAGTTATGTGTTTATTAGGTGGTTTGGATTTTTCCATGACTCACTCATGCTCTGTTTTTTGGTTTTGTTTGTTTCTTTTTATTTTTTTTTTTTAATTTGAGTTCTCTTTCTTCTGTGTTACATTTTGGATAGTTTCTATTGCCGCCTTTCAATTCACTAGTCTTGTGTTATGCAGTGTCTGATCTGCTGCTCCTCCCATTCCATGTATTTTTCATTGCTAGAAGTTTAATTTGTGTCTTACTTGTACCTTTCATGTCTCCCCCACAGTTAAAATGACTGTTTTAATGCTCTAATAGTAACATTGGGTTCTGGGTCTATTTTAAGTCTTCGGTTTGCTTTTCCTCCTCATTATGGATCTGTATTTTCCTGCTTTTTTGCATGCCTGGTACAATTCAATTGTATGCATAGTTGATTTTACTTTGTTAGGTGGTGAATATTTTTGTTTTCTTTTAATTATTCTTGGGGTTTGTTCTGGGATGCAGTTAAGTTAGTTGGAAACAGTTTGATCCTTTTGGGCCTTGCATTTAAGATTTTCTAGGTGGAACCAGAGTGTTTGGTTGCTCCCACTACTGAGGCAGGACCTTCCTGTGTACTTTATCCAATGCCCAACCTAAAGGATTATGAAGTTTTCAATCCTCACTAATGGAAGCACTCTTCCCAGCCCTCTGTGGCTTAAAGCACTGGTCCTTCCAGTCTCAGGTAGTTCACTCACATGAAGCCCTGATCAGTATTCTGACTTGTCCTGCTACCCCTTGAATCTGAATTTAAAGTCACTCCTCAGAACATAAGACAAAAATCGCATACCCTAGAAGGGCATCCTTGAAATGCATATGCACAGGCCAAGTTTGGAGTATGGGAGAACAGAATTATATTTTCTTTCTCTCATTAGCCTATTAGAATAAATTGCTTTATCAGGTAGTCAAATGGTTACATAGTCTGAGAGGTCAGCAAGCAACTAACCACCTACATCTGACATTGTTTAGTTTTCTACAAATATCTGTGCATAGCAGTGATTAACAAATTTCATATGTAGACCCCTGAGTATCTTGTTAAAAACACAGATTCCTTACGTTTGGCAAAATGTTGATAATTGTTGAATTTAAATTATAGGTACATGGGGTCCATATATGCCTCAACTTTCGTGTGTGTTTGAAACTTTCCGTAATAAAAAATTTAGAGGAAAACAAAATATATGCATTGATTCATAATTCCTGGGCCTCTGTGCTTACATCTTGCTTTAGTATCTCTGAAATGGGATGCAGGAATCTGCTCAGGTGCCCTAGCTTGGGTGGTCTTTGGACTATACTTAGAAACACTGGTACACTCATCGTTAAGTGATTCATTTGTTTGACTTAGTTATTTTTATGGTTGCTATTTTCCCAACGAAGGTATTATCCAGGGACCTCCAGCCTGTAATGCTCAAATAAATGAACATTCCCTTCTTAGCCCACCAAGTTCTTACCTGAACAGCCTCTGGAGGAGTGGGATCCTTGCAACCAAAATTATAAAAATGGAACTCTCCTCCAGTCAAAGCAGCAATCTCTTTCAAAAATCTGTTTGCAATCTCATCATTGTAATTGAAGGAGATGGTATAAATAGGAATTTCCTGAAAAACTTTGACCTGGTCTATAACCATTTCAGGTGGCTGAAACGGTAAGTTTTGGAGAGAGGCGGGAGGGAGATGGAAAGAGAAGAGATAGAAAAGAATATGAAAATCCTCAGTATTAACTTTAGATACTCAAATAGTAATTCCTTACACAGTGGTGAATGGCTTCTTATAAACATGTCAATTCAATTCAATCAACAACAACAACAAAAACGACTGCCAGATAGTGAGAGTACAATGATCCCTAAGACATGGTCCTTGGCTCTCAGGTCTCTCAGTTAGGTGGGACAAAGAAGATAGGAGAAAGATTTGGCTAACCAAGTCACTCAACTTTAGGTGCACCTGAAGTTAGAGTCCATGCATTTAAAGTGCTGGGCTAAAAAAGAGCAATTTCCAGCTTCCACCATGCTATGGTCAACTCATTTCCCACAGAGAGTGAAGGAAGAGATGTTTTATTTAAGGTCTTCCTATGTGCTGTGCATTTATCTGAGAAACTGAAGAAAGCAGGGAGGCTCTGTGAGGAATGGATTGAGGAGTCCCAGAGCTGAGAGAGCCTTCTTCACTGTACATAGGAGGTAGTCAGGGAGTGGGCCCACCACTCCAGAGGTCAGAAGAGCTGCTGAAATGAGTGCTGGAAAGGGGCATGGTTAGTCAGTCTGTGGTGGCAAGAGGTTTGTTTCAACTTTCTGATTCTGCTTTTCAAAGCTCTGAGGATATAAATCAGCAAAAGGACTCATCAACGGGGAGCGGGCAGAAGGACAGGAATGGCTATTTCCCATTGCAGGGATGGAGCTCCCTCTGTCCTTGACGGGCACTCCCACTCTCTGCCCAGCTCCCCAGCATCATCCTGGGGCACTTGAACATCATGCCAGTTTAGCATGATGGGATCACCTGAGACTGGCAGCAGGGATGGGGCTTACAATGATACACATGAGTCTCTCTCCCACTCACACTGTCTTCAGCTGTAAGGATTGATGGAAATAGCTCCAGTTAGAGACCTGGGCTTGAAGCTCATCCAGCACTGCCCATCTGAATGACCTTGGGTATGTCCTGTCTAATGTGAGTTTCCTCATCTGTGCCTCAGAACTAATACACCCTCCTTATAGGGTTGCTGTGAGGAGTAAATGAGATGACGTTCCTCGGAAGGCATTCCACAAATACTTGTTGAGTACCTTTCATTTGCCAGGCGCTGCTGTCAGCCTAGGATAATGCCAAGCAGCACCCTGAGCCACTTTCCCCAGTTCCCTTTGCTCCGAGTCTAAACAGCTGTGCAGCCAGGGCTACCTTCATCCACACACATCAGCTGGAGTAGCAAGAAGGGCAGAGATTCTGTCTCCTCTCTGCTGGAAGGAGGTCTGTTTGTGCATGCACAGGTTGATCACCCTGCACCTTCCCCATCTCCTGTCCTAACATACTTCATGCTAAGACTTTAGCCATTAGTTTTATTTAGGATGGTGCAAATGCCTTCTTCACGTCCATTTTCTTGATTCCAGTCCAGGCGAGCCCCTAACTTCAAAGAATTCCCAAAATGACTGCAGTTAAAGCTGCATGGGGCTGTTCCTAGCAAAGACCCTGCCAGTTTACACTATGGATGCCCAGCAAAGGACACTTATCCAATGCGTACATGATTCCATTTCAATGAAGACTAATACTTCTAGAACCCCTTTGACCTGCTTAATTTTAAAGACTGTATCCCTTTATAATCCTTCCCCAGACATTTAATAAGCAAGCAGGAAGCTAGTGTCCATATAACATCTGTGTCTATTCTTTCAAGGAGAAAATTCTGCTGAATATTTGACATAATACTTCCCTTATCCTTACACATTCAGTTCCTATAAAGCCAGTGAAAATTCAAAAGCAAATAGAAATTGAGTGGTACATCTCAATCTTCTACATAGAACATGAATATCAAATATCAATTTGCCTTTTGGAGAGAATCCAAGGAATAATGCAAAAATAAGTAGACTGCATGTGTCAAAAAGGCAGCGTTGAATTTGGAAGTCCTCAAAAGCTTCTAAATTATGTTTGGTGTAATTTGTACATTTCTGACTCCAGCTTTTTTTTTTTTTTTTTTTTGAGATGGTGTCTCACTCTATCATCCAGGCTGGAGTACACTGGTAGGATCTCAACTCACTGCAACCTTTACCTCCCAGGTTCAAGCGATTCTCCTGCCTCCTCAGCCTCCTGAATAGCTGGGATTACAGGCACCCACCACCATGCCTGGCTAATTTTTTTGCATTTTTAGTAGAGACTGGGTTTCACCATGTTGGCCAGGCTGGTTTAGACCTCCTGACCTCAAGTGATCCTTCTGCCTCAGCCTCCCAAAGTGCTAGGATTACAGGCGTGAGCCACAGTGCCAGGCCTGACTCCAGCTATTATCCATATCATTGGTTCTCCATCTTTGAGTGGACCCTCAGAATCTGGTGAAATATATTGATCTTCTCTCCCGAAAAAAAAGTTTGAGTGTATTTTGTATATGTTATTGGGAGATTCCAGAGCCCCGGAAGTCCATACTGGACTGTAGATCAAGAATTCTTCTCAACGCACTGCTTGCAGGGGTGTTGCATATGACATCCTCTTTGGGGGTTGCTATTTAGCAGTATTGATCAAAACATGGACCTTGCAGCTGAGTCCACTTCTCAGAATTTACACTACAGATATACTCACTCACATGCAAAACAATATATGCACAGAGCTCCTTTGGCAAGACTGTGTAAAACAGAAAGATTGAAAACAATCTGAATGTGCATCTGTAGGGGACTAGCTAAATAAGTAATGGGATAGCCATGCGACGGGACCTAGAAGGGAATGAGGAGGTTCTTTATGAAACGATACGAAGCCATCTCCAAGGTATATTGTTTGATGAATAAAGGTGTACAGTCATGTATATAATATGCTAACATTTACTTTTGTAAAAAAGAGGAAATATATATGAATACATTTTTTGCTGCATAATACAAACCATCTCTGAAAGTGGATACAAAAAATCTAGTTACATCAGTTGCCTCCTAGCTGGTGAAAGAGGTGAGAGGGAGAATTTTCTCTACCTATGCGTTTCTGCCTTTGTGGTTTGTACAATGTGAATGCATTACTATTCAAAAATTAAACAAAAATGGCTTTAAGGCTGAAGTTTCATTAAATTCACATAACAGAATGTGATGCAGTCTTTGAGAAGGATGCTCCTGAAGAATTTTTCATGACTTGGAAAAATGCATGTGATAGGTTAGATGGGGAAAAAAAGAACACAAAATTCAATTATGAGTAATTTAAATTTCCTCCCTTTTTCTTTTTTTCTTAGAGACAGGGACTCACTCTGTTGCCCAGGCTAGAGTGCAGTAGTGCTATCATAGCTCACTGCATCCTCAAACTCCAGGGTTCAAACGATCCTCCTACTTCAGCCTTCTGAGTAGCTAGGACTACAGGTGCATACCACCATGCCCAGCTAATTTTAAAATTTTTTGTCGAGACAGGGTCTCAATATGTTGTCCAGGCTGGTCTCGAACTCCTAAGTTCAAGCAATCCTCCTGCCTCAGCCTACCAAAGAGCTGAGATTACAGGAGAGAGCCACCCCACCCAACCAAATTTTCTCCTTTTTAATGCTTATCTATGTTTTCCAACTTGACCATCATGTAAACAATTTTGAAAATCAGTAAGAGTATATTAAAAAGAAAAATACACCTTGAGCTGCCTAGATGTCTCTCAAGTTGGAATCTTCAGCTTACATGGTCCCAAACTTCAGCTCCATATTTCTAGGGGTTTCTGGACATCCATGTACTACAGGCTCACAAACAGTTTCCTCCATGAGCCGCCCCCAAGGCTACTTGCCTCTGCTTGAAATTTGTATTTCAATCAGTTAATATCATAATCAGTGTAAACCAGAAGTCAGTCATTCTGACTCCTTTCTGCCATGTTCCTATCTTCTCCTCACCTCCCGCTCACTGCTTCCAAACTGGCCACTGGGTCCTGTTGATGCTGCTTCTGGCGGTTCACGTCTGGAGTCAGTCCCCTCCTCCCATTCTTGCTGCTCCTGCGTGAGGCTGGTCCTTTCCAGCTTTCATCAAAGACCTGGTGGCAGGCTGCAGCAGTGCCAGCCTTTCCCTGGCACAACTGAGGCACGTTTCTGAGATCAGATGGGTAGGATGACCCACTCCTCCGGGAGTTCCTCTCTGTGCTGACACCACCCTTCTAATGTGGCATTCAAAAACTTTCAGTCTCCCCCAACCCAACATTTTTGCCTCCACCCTGATCTTCTTCCGTTGTCCCTGCCCTCAGCTTATTTCTCTGAGCTCCCCCCCGACCATACTTCCACACCTCTGTGTCCCTTCTGCCCAGGACAGCAACAGTGTCCTCTGCTGCGAAAATTCCTTCTTCTCTTTCCAGACACAGCTCAAATTTCCCCGCCTTGCGGGAACCTGCCTGGCCTTCTCTCCATCTCTACAGCAAAATCCATCACTCTGTGCTCCTAGACATAGCACAGTCAACCCTGTTCCCCGTATTGTATTAAACTGTATACATCTAGCACACTCCCCAAAGAACAAGCGTGTCAAAGGCAGGGATGAGCTATTATTCATCTTTGTAGCCTCAGACCCTGGCACCACACATGGAATAGAAGACAGACATGATGAACTGCTTCCAAAGAGAAAACACACTAAAGTTGATAGAAAAAAATAATTTAAAATAAATTTTCACTTTACACACTCCCTTTCTGCCATAAATCTAAAGCTGTAGTAAAATCCAGATGCTTACTCTCTGAACTTTAATCCCTGAACTTTTTGCCACGGGGTATTTTAGAATATTTGCCTAGCAGTCTGCATAGGCAAACATCTCACAAGGAAGGACACGAGTTGACACTAATTCACTCTAGCTGCTAATTTACGCTATGCTGGCCTGAAAATCCTTCGATTTATTTAACGCCCCGAGTACTCGTCTTTCATTCACAAAGCTCAAAAGAAGATGAACAGACTCCTCTAAGACTTTTCCAATATTTTCCAGTCAGGCTAAACAAAACAAAGGAGATTTCACTAGAAAGGCATGTTTTTGTTTAAATGAGTTCTAAGTAAAGCCAAGGACATTATGCGATGACATGTTTAGATTCAGTATCCAGACGAAGAAAAAAATCAAAAAGAATCTCCTCGCTCTTTGTTTGTAATAAAATATAAACCAGTCTTCAGTGGAAGGCAGATGCCTCCTTTCATGGGGCTGGTCTCCAGGCCAGGGGTGTGTGTCACACTCACCAGGCAACATTCGCTGTCTCATAAATTCTCAGAGTTTCCAGAGACAAAGGAATCTCTCAGTGTATTTGCTCATCTCAGCTCTGAGTCCCTGAGCCAGTGAAGTGTATCTCCACGGCTTTTTGGCAGCAGCTGAAAAGGTCTCCCAAACCCGTTTCCAGCATTTGCTTTCAGAGCATCAGTGAGGCCCTCTTTGTTCCCAGCTCTGATAAGTACCTGATCAGGTCTCCCATCAGTCAGAAGGTAGATGGCCTGTGTTTCTTTATCAGCAAAAGCAGTTTTCAGGGCACTCAGGGTGTTTGTGGAACTTCCAATCTATGGAAAAAAGAGAGACATACCAAGGACACCTTTTTGAATCTCAAAAAAGAACTCACAGCAAGTATTTATTTTCTGCTTCCAAACAAAGAAGAAAAACTACTTGTGAGATAAAAGATAAATTAAAATTAGATTGAGATAACAATTTAACCCCAATGATTCCAAGAAACATATCCCAGGATGTGCCACGAAGTCTCTATCCGGGCAGTCTAAGGGCTGCTAGAAGCCAGGACTGTGGATTTCCTGTCTTGATGACGGAGATCTTAATGCAATTTTATTTGTTTGTGTTTCTATGTGAGATGCTAACTCAGTTACTGCTCACTCGTCTGTCAACAGAGCTTAAACTTGCACCCTAAATACACTGTGGCATCGTATTGGTTTCAAACCAGGATTTATTCATGATACCCAATATTTGGCAAACGTGAGTGTGGTATCATTAGCAATCTAACAATGTACATGTAGACATATCTAACATTACTTAACAAGTTCTGATGAAATATATACCTACTTTCAAGTGCATGAACCCACCTATTATCAGGTCTTATATGAAAGCACAGTATTGAATGAGGGACTTTAAATGTTCTGCTTTACCTATGATGGGAATAACCAGACATATATCTGCTATACCATCATATATGAGTCAAATTCAGAATCAATAAAAAGGAATATGTTATGGCTTATTCTTTCTCCTACACATAACATCAATCGTAACACCATCTGCAATTCTTTTTTTTTTTTTTTTTTTCAACAGGGTCTCAGGGCTCCATTGTAGTGGGGCTGTCTCAACTCACTGCAACCTCTATCTCCTGGGTTCAAGCAATTCTCCTGCCTCAGCCTCCTGAGTATCTGTGACTACAGGTGTACACCACCATGCCCAGCTAATTATTGTATTTTTTTTCTATTTATTTATTTTACTGCATTTTAGGTTTTGGGGTACATGTGAAGAACAAGCAAGATTGTTGCATAGGTAAACATGTGGCAGTGTGATTTGCTGCCTCCCTCCCCATCACCTACATCTGGCATCTCTTCCCTTGCTATCCCTCCCCAACTCCCCACCCCCC